AAAAAAAAAAAAAAAAAAGAATTTATAATGAGCAGACTGTACTTATTAAATAACTCAAAAGGATGCATTGAGAATATTTTTGTTCTATACAGAGTAAATGTTCTATTTTATTACCAAAATTTTATGTATGTATATGTGTGTGTGTATGTGTGTATATATTTTACTGTTAAGATAAAACAATGCCACTTGGTATCATTTTTTTGTATCAGAAAAAGACACATGTATATAAAATGTAACCATACCTTCAAAGACATCTGTCATTTTGCATATATGGGCAAATGTAGCTCCAGTCGCCCACGTATATACTACATCCATTAGGTGAGGTTTGAATGAACTTAGGTACGTTTCTTCATCAATTTCAAGTTTGGCTTCTGCTGAAACTTTTGCAATTCTTTTAGCACATTCCTTTAAAGATAAAAGATACACTTAAAATTCCTTTTTATCTCCCATATATATATATATTTTTTTTTTTTTTTGAGAGGTTTTAGCTATAAAGCACATGCACTCACCAGAAAGACAGAGACAGCCAAAAAGTGAGAAATCACCCCCCGGGGATGGTTACACTACAACCCGCACTTGGCGTGAGTTTAAGCCACCAGGTCTGGGACTCAAACCACAGTGGGCTACATGGAAGTCCAGTGACATAGCCATTATGCCAACTGCTGGTCCCTCCCTTATCATTTTTTAAATATACCCCTGATTTCCAAAGCCAGTATTCCATGAGGTTCCCTTCTTCTTCCCAGTCATTATGTATGTCTGCAGTAAGTATATTCTGCTGGTAAGCAGGCACAGTGCCTGCTTAGTGATCCAACAGCAAGGTGTTTTGTTATATTGAAGAGGTTAACTATGAAAAACTACATCAAGAGCATGATTTTCAGCCAGTTACAACTTTTTTTTTGGGGGGGGGGAGTGCATGCACTTGCTAAAGAGAGATGAAGCGAGAGAGAACGCATCCCACAATGGGGTGTGATCATGCCACAATTCCTTCTCCATTTTTCCACCTGTCAGGATTATGGGCACCAATGAACACATACCCAGCACATCTTTCAAGCCACCAGGGCCAAGATTCAAACTGTGCTCATCCGAGTGAGATCTGGCTCCCTTAAACACCAGGCTATAGGGCTCAGCCAGTCATACGTCTACAGAAATATAGAATTCTTCATAAAAATTATTCATGGGCCAGCTAAAATAATTACTAAGTTACTAAAATAAAACCATAAAAGATGTTATAAGGTAGCATTAAATGACATGACTGACATCAAGTAACATATTTAAACCAAATGGACACTATCTGTATGGAATGATAAACTATTATGATTAGACTATCAAAAATATTTATTTTATAATCGATTCATAAAATACATACTTCAAAAAAATTGTACCTGCATTTGACGAAGTGGTCCTGCTAATTGCTCCGTTAATTTGGGCATCTCGCTAGACTACAAAAGAAAAAAGTCAGATATTAAAAACCCAGGTTTAAAGTTAAACATATACTATCAAATTGCAAAATGTTAGTCCTTAACACTTAAGAGTTTCTAGTCACTTCTTAATTTTCAGAACCAAATTGTACTCGTCATTGTAAATTATACATTCCCTTATTACATATCAGAGGAAAATATCACACTACTAAATCTGCAAAGTATGCTAACTAGCTACTTCTCATGTCTATAAATGGAAATCAAGGACAGCAAAATTATACATACTCAGTAGTTTAGTTACATCAATATTATAAACAAATTTACTTATTGTAATTTACTTCTGAAGCAATTCTAACTTCTAGGGCATGTATGCATGTATAGAGACAGTGAGAAACCACCCCCTGCCCCAGGGCAGAGAGTCATACCACAATCCCTTCTCCTCCATTCTCCTCTTGGGATTTTGGGCACACATGCATATAGGCACAGTGTGAGTTTCAAGCTGCTGGGTCCAGAACTTGAACCGCAGTCAGCCATGTGGGAGTCCAGACACATAACCACTATGCCACCTGCTGGACCCAGAACCTGCCCATATTCTTAATAGTGTTTTCCTACCAGTGAAAAGTTTGTCTATTTCTGTTAGATAACAGACTTTCAAGAGTAACTAACTACATGAACTGAGACAAGCTGCTTGAATTATGTGTCCAGGTTTCTTTCCCTGCCAAAGACAAATAATAAAGCCAGAATTTCAAAACTGATAGGCTTGTTATGAAAATTAAAAATCATTGTTTTGTATTGTTTGCATTGAAAGCATTACTTTAAAAAATAGAAGTATTTTATTTATTTTAAGAATGGAATGTATCGTGGTGGTTAAGGTGCTGGACACTCCCACGTGGCTGACCACAGTTTGAGTCCCAGACCTGGCAGCTTGCTTTCTCAATCTTTCTCTCTCTCTGGTCAAAATTAAATAATAAATGAATGAATAAATAAAATAAATAATTATTATTAAAAAAAAAAGAATGGAATGTATCATGTGTAAGATATGATTAGGTAATATAGGTAAATTGTCTGAAAAGCAATTACAGGCTAATTGCAAACATTTGCCCTTCTTTTTTTTTTTTTTTCTTTTTTTTTGGGGGGGGGGGAGGTTCTTGCTATAGGGCGCATGTGCTCGCCAGACAGACAGAGAGAGACATAGAGACAGAAAGCAAGAAATCACCCCCCAGGGGGATGGTCACGCCGCAATCCCTTCTCCTCCATTCTCCTCTCGGGATCTTGGGCACGCACGCACACGCGCCCTGCTTGAGTTTTAAGCCACCGGGTCCAGGACTTGAACCGCGGTCGACCACGTGGGAGTCCAGCGACATAGCCATTACGCTAACTGCTGGTTCCCCCATTTGCCCTTATTTTGACTATCTGGTTCAGAACTTAAGTTTTAATCTGTATTATGTATGTAAGTATACTATATAAGTCACAAACCACTTTGTACATTATTTTTCCATGTTAAAACCACAATTATTAATGAATGATAAAAAAGCAAAATGGCCAGAATGAACTTAATATTTCAATTTGGTAAAGAATGCAAGACTACTAAACATCTTTGACATTACATTTATTCATGGTCACCAGTTACCTGATTATCTTCCCCATGCTGGTCACTATAGGTACAAGGCCGAGTCCTAATAGGTCAGGAGGCTGTGATTTACTGTCCTTTTGCCAGGTATGTGCACAGTGTATTCCCTATCTCTCCTTTAGGTTTCAATTCAATTTTGTTTTATTGATGAAGCCTGTTCTAATCATCTCACTTAAAATAGTAAGCCTACCCCCTCCTAGTGATATGTCTCAGATTTTCCTGCTTTCCTTTTCTCCAAAGTCTTCACTGCCATTTGACAAAAGGTCTGTATTTTATTTTTTTATTTTCACCTACTAAGTATCACAAAAACAAATTTCTGCTGTGGATCTACTGCCTAGATCCTTAAGATATACACAGTGGGAGTTCAATGAATAACTGCAGGCACTTGATCATTGTATTATAAGAGTTTATACAGCTACTAGGTAAGCTTGGGGTACACGGGAGACTACAGTTCAATTCCCACTCCACCCGAAAGCTAGGTGTGATGATGCATGCCTGTAGTCCCAGCTATTTGGCAGGCTAAGGGAGGAGGAATGTGACACAGTGGGACCCTGTATAAAAATGTAAAAAGTGGGGCAAATTTAAAACCACTTTAATACAGATGTCAGTATATGGGAGGGCCAGCAGGTGGCATTGTGGTTAAGGTGCTGGACTCCCACGTGGTCAACTGCAGTGTGAGTCCCAGACCCAGAAGTTTAAAAAAAAAAAAAAAAATCACACTGGCACGTGTCCATGTGCCCCCAAAATCCTGAGAGGAGACTAGAGGAAAACGGACAGCAGTATGGCCATCCCCATGGGAAGTGATTTCTCACTTTGCCTCTCTCTGGAGAGTGCATGTACCTTATGTCAAAAACCTAAAAACAAACAAAAAGTTGTATATTTACTCTGCCTCTGCCTTCTGGCTAAAAAATATACTGTGAAAAGTATCAAGAAAACTCCATGTGACTTTCAGTATGGTTTTCATTTCCTTGCTGAAAGGCACAACCAACCACAAGAATGGATGACACTGCATATAACACTGTGTGGTTTCACTGCCACATTAAAACAAACCAAGCCTGCAAGCGATTAGTCACAAGACAAAATATGGCATGGATAGAAGACCACCAATCCCTAAACAATCTCTAAACTTTAGAGCTGTTCAAATGATATTTGACAAATGTCCTTAATTATCCTAGAAACTGAACTAACAAAATTCTGAACCTAATGAAACAGTTAAAGACCGTATTTTATAAAGCAATGTACCCCTCTTCTATAGCAAATACTTCACAGGTGTAAAACAGGCATTCCCAGGAGGGCAAAGACTGTCTGGATTGTCATTGTTGTTACTTTAGCTGTAATTCTACTCAATAATCAGGGATATGGGGGGGGGGAAGTACCAATCTACTTCAGGAAGTAATATATATGATTATATTAATAAATAGAAAACAAGTTAACAGGTTAACAACTTAATAGAGCTGAGGGCCAGCAGATGGCATAGTGGCTATGTCACTGGACTCCCACATGGCTGACCATGGTTCAAGTCCCAGATCTGGTGGCTTGAAAATCATGCAGGGTGCATGTGAATGCATACCCAAGATCCTGGGAGAGGAATGGAGAAGAAATTGTGTATTGGCCATCCCCCCTGCGGGGTGATTTCTCACTTTCCCTCTCACTGTCTCTGGCAAGTGCACACACCCTAAGGCATAAATCCATTTAAAAGGGGGGGGAGGGGACCAGCAGTTAATGTAATGGCTATGTTGCTGAACTCCCATGTAGTCGACCGGGGGTGCCGATGGCTTAAACTCACGCCGGGCACTTGTGCGTGCGTGCCCAAGATCCCAAGAGGAGAATGGAGGAGAAGGGACTGTGACGTGGCCATCACCCCGGGGGGTGATTTCTCACTTTCTGTCTGTCAGGCAAGCGCACACATGCCCCTAAGCAAAACCCCCAAAAAAAAAAAAAAAAAAAAAAAAAAAACTTGAAAAATTTTGTCTTACAAAATTTACTTGAAAGTAAAACTAAGTGTACATGAGAAATGATCTTTAAAAATTAGGTAATAATATAAAATTATTTTTACAAGGCAAATGTCCTTGTTTTATTCTCATTTTATACTCTTCACCTACAACAAATAGTCTTAAATTTTAAAAATGAAACATTACTGGTTTTTTTGGGGGGGAGAGGTTTTTGCTATAGGGTGTGTGCACTTGCCAGACAGAGAGAGAGAGAGACAGAGACAGAAAGCAAGAAATCACCCCCCAGCGGGGATAGCCATGCCACAATCCCTTCTCCTCTTGGATCTTGCGCCCGGAGTGAGTTTAAGCCACTGGGTTCGGGACTCAAATCACGGTCGACTACATGGGAGTCTAGTGACGTATCCATTATGCCAACTGCCAGTTCCAACATTACTATTTTTTAAAGTTTTATTCTTTTCTTCCATGAAAGAGGGAGAGAGAGCATCCCTATGTGCACAAGGAGGCCTCGGAACAACAACCCAAGACCTTGCTATATGGCCTCAACATGGTGGAACATCACGTTACCTCTATGCCACCAAAGCTGGTCACGAAATCTTACTTTCTAGAATGAATCACACTGGTCTTTGAATTGTAGTCCAAGGGCAATTAGTGTTCTTGTGTGTACCACCCAGCCCTTCGTTTTTGATTTCTTTCGTTTTTTATTAAATTGCCAGAGCACTCATGAGAGAGCAAGAGAGAAAGCACTCAACAGGGCCTAGTAACACCACAACCCATTTACCCTGTTTCTCCATTCCATCAGAATCCAGAACACACAGGTATCCAGTGTGTTTTTCTTTCCATTGAGATTTTTGCTACAGGATGAGTACACTCACTGGAGAAAGAGAGAGAGAAAGAAAGCAAGGAATAACCCGCAGGGGAGATAGCCAGGCCACAATCCCTTCTCTTCCATTCTCCTCTTGGGATTTTGGGCACGTATGCACAGGCATCTGGTGTGAGTTTTAAGTCGCCATGTCTGGGACTTGAACTGCGATCGACTACATGAGAGTTCAGCAACATAATTTGTATACCATCTGTTGGTCCCTTCAGTGCGTTTTTCAAACCTCTGCGGCCAAAATTTAAACCTGTAGCACTATGAGGCCGGTCCTCCAGATTTCTCAAGAATCATTGAAAGTGAACTAATTATCCATATTTTAAAAAATTATTATTAAAACAAGAATCTATAGTCATCTCTATAAACTTTGCCCATAAAAATGAAAACTTCAGTCCCTCGCAGGTTCGGCTATGTCATAGTTATTATTCTCTAACTGGTGGGGAGGGGGAAATCAAGAAATGGTGTTAATTTAACCCCGCTATCCTCCTATCGTTTTTAATACATTTTCCTATTTTTACTTTCACTTATCTTCTTTTGACTTACTAGATGAGACCTTTAAACAATCAACTAGGTTATGAAACAAATTTAACACTTGGAATCCGATTAATGATGAGATGTTCACAAATACAATCCTATTTTATTCTCCTTTCTGACAATAGGCATTTAATTATTTAACACTCTTACTATATTTGTACTAAAGTTGTTTTGTTTTCTAATTAACATGACCCATAATATGTAAATACAAAGTGTTATTTTTGTAACTAAAATCATTCATAATAGGGGTCAGTTCCATAGCCTAGTGTAAAGTTGCTTTGTTTTCCAATTAACATGACCCATAATATCTAAATACAAAGTGCTATTTTTGTAACTAAAATCATCCGTAATAGGGGTCAGTTCCATAGCCTAGTGGTTAAGGGACCCTGGATCCCACATACTTGTCTGCAGTTTGAATCTCAGAGCCAGTAGCTTGAAAAATACACTAAGCACATCTGTGTGTATGCCCAAAACCCAACCAGGATGGAGAAAAGGAGAACGGACTGTGGTATAAGAATGCCCCAACAGAGGCACACTGCCTCTAGCAATTAAAAATAATTCTTAGCACTTTAAAACTAAATGGCATGCTTTATAATTTAATAAATAAAATGTACTAAATTGACTCACATTCTCTTGAAACACAAAACAGCTTAGCAAGGCTGTTGCCTGTTCTGCAGAAAGGTCATTGAAGAGGCCATTAAACATCATCTCAGTCAGAAGGAGCTCATCAGCACTACGCCATTAAAAAGAGAAAATAACGTTTAATCGTCAGAATGTAAAGACATACAAGTGCATACACACATACATATTCCTAACATGCAGTTTTTAATTCAATGTATTTTTTGACCATGAGGAATAATCAATAAAAAGTGACAAATTTATTTAAGGAAATGGCAGGTCTTACATAAAATAACATTTCATATAAAGATCCCAAATACCTAAATCCACATTTTCATTGGTTGAAAGCTATATTTATTTAAGTCTCAATATGCAGGGAAAACGGTTATCATTTAATACCTAGGTCCAAAGGACATTTTAGTATTTTTTTAACTTTAAATCATCTTACAAAATAATTGTAGACTAAGGCGGTAATGAAAATTAGAAATATTAATAAGAAAGTACCCCCCCAAAAAAATCTATGTTTTACTTCATATTTTCCCAGGGTTGAAAATGTCTATAATCAAGATACACAATGGTCTTTGACCACAACAAACTATCACTTGCTGCTTATAAATTTTTATCACAAACCTAGAAAATATCCAGCAGATAAATACAATTTAAGATTTCAAATACATCTCTCACATGTACTAGCTCATTACTTTTGATTTCTTTTTTGCATTGTCAAAATACATTAATGAGTCCATATTTCTTTTTTTGGGGGGAGAGGTTTTTGCTATAGGGCATGTGCACTCGCCAGACAGACAGAGACAGAGAGACAGAAAGCAAGAAATCACCCCTCAAGGGGGATGGCCATGCCGCAATCCCTTCTCCTCCGAATGGGATCTTGGGCACGTGCACACATGCGCCCGGCTTGAGTCTAAGCCACCGGGTCCAGGACTCAAAATGTGGTTGACTACGTGGGAGTCCAGTGACATAGTCATTACGCCAACTGCTGGTCCCAATGAGTCCATATTTCAAATACACCTCCTTTAAGTTCTAGCTTATTGCTTTTGGTCCCTGTTTCACCTTACCAAAATACAGTATTTGCTTTTTCCTTCTTTGAGTTTAACTTCGGATTTGTATAATAATTCCTGGGTTTTTGTTCTTTGCCACAATAAATGGAAAATTAAAAATTCTGAACTTTCAACTATGTTCAATGCCAGTATAAAAAAAAAAAAAAAAGACTACAGAGATAGTGTTTCTGGACTGAAAAAAAATAAATTGCTATAAAGCATTTGTGTGTGCACCCAAGAGACAAAAAAGAGAAAAGATGAGTCCCCTGGTGGACGACCACACCACAATCCCTTCTTGCTCTATTCTCAGATACGGGGCATACATGCTCATGTGCCCAGTTTATTTTCCAAGCTGCTGAGTCCAGGACTTGGTACCTCATGGTTGGCCATGTGGGATCCAGCTGTAATTACCATGTCACCTGGCTGTCCCCTTCTAGACTTCTATAATCAAGGCTCCATAAATTATATTTATAAAAGGGATCAATGGACCTATCCAGTAATTAAAAAGTAAAAAGCAACTTTTCTCTTTATTCTTTGGAAGATCTCTAAAAACCATTGACTATTCATCTTTACGGTTATAACTATTCAAAAATAAAAAAGTCAGAAACTAAATCCTTAAGGGTAAGCTAAAAGTTAAGTGAAGACAACACAAAGGAGGCAAGACCATTTCAATGGGTACAGTCTAACACAGGAAAAAGACAAGTAAGCCAATAATAACAGAACAGTGATTCTAACAGAGTGATCTAACACAGGTTTGTACAGTCACACAGAAGAGTCAAGCCTGGTGGTTCAAACAACCGATCCCACATGGCTGATCACAGTTTAAGTCCTGAACCTGGCCACTTTAGAAACATACCAGGCAGGTGTCCATACATTCAAATTCCTGAAAGGAGGAGATGAAAGAGAAGGGACGACAGTATAACCATTCCCGATGGGACGTCCTTTCTCTTCTCCCTGTCTTTCTCTGGTGAGTGCATGTACCTTCTAGCTAACATGCAGGTATAATGCATGAATAAATAAATAAGTAGATAGACAGACAGACAGATAGATAAAATAAATCAATGTGCCTTAAATCAAATTGAAGTTCACAACTAATTTCAGAAGATCTTAGGAAACACAAGCGAAATCAGCAATAAGTAGGGGGAGTGAAGGAAAGGTCATGCATGCTAAGTAAAAGAAATAACATGCATAGCATATCACAATGGACAGAGCAGAAAGGGCAATTTGTCTAAAGGCAGTAGAGATTCACTGAAGGGCTTTTACCAAACACAACACAACAGGATTTATGCTTTGGAATAAATACTTTGAAAGCTATCTACAGGATGGGCTGTGGAAACTCAAGACAGGAGGCAGCAACTAGGAAAGCTACAGCAATCTAGGCAAGAAATCCTGAGAGATGCACATTAGTCAGTGTGGCTGTTTAAAAGAGAATGTAGGCAAAGACTTAAGACATGAAAAGACAGAGAGGAGTCAATGATGATTCGAAGTTTTTCCTAGTTCTAGAGAAAATAAATGTACTCTGGTATGATACTGTTATTGGCACAAATGAAAAATTATCGTAGAATAAAATATCCATTCTTCAAAGACTAATCTAGCTATAAATACCTAAGAGAATTAATTTCTGTATTAGTTATTAAACATTAGGCAAATCAGAAGGAGATAAACCCAATAACAAACTATGACATATGACTCAGCAGACCAGTGTTATAGTCTAGATTTAATCTTTTAATTTATAAATGATTAACTATATGGTATCAGGGATTCTTTACTCAGAGTAGGGAAGATGAACTGTATCATATGTGGAAGAAAAACTGTGAGAGCTAAATCTAACTTGAAGAAATGTTTTATATGTTGCATATAGTGACTAAAGCAATTAATTATGAATTAGAGTGAACATTTAAATCAAGATACTTCACCTAAAATTCTGGATTCTTGGTTTCTCTAAGTTGAGAAAATCTGTTAATGACATTATCTTACAATAACAAATTACTGAAATTGGTGGTTACTGCCCCTTTCCGTGGCCAAGAGCTATTTTGTCACTGGTCTCCTCACCTCTACAGGTATCTGAGATTATAATAACAATGGGTCAGTCTTTATCAGGAATGTTCAAAACGATAAACAAGGTCTATAATTCTCTGGGCCTCTCCATCAGGGCCATACAGAGAATATGAAAACTTGGAAAATGTCTTTCATGGATTCACTGAGAATGATGGTAATCACTATATGGACAAAATAAGATCTATCTCTAGGCTGGATAATGCTCATTGGCCATCAACTTAGGGCTGTCAAGTTAACAAGAGTTAAGCTGCATCCAAAGACAGGAAACATTCCTCACTTCAGGAATTAAGTGATGAATTTTTACAATAGTGTCATAAACTGGATTTTCTGACTATAGCCATAACATACCTCTTGCTCATGTTTTTCTAAACTGCACTGATCTGCGTAGGCTGCTTTTGCATACCTGTGGCAATTCCAATTTAAATTATATAAATTAATAGGATCTGCAGATGAGATTGCAGGACTCCCACGTGGTCAACCATGGTTTGAGTCCTGGAAATGAAGGCTTGAAACTCACACCAGTGCATGTGTATGTGTGCCCAAAATCCCAAGGGGAGAATAAAGGAGAAGGAACTGGAGGCTGGTCATCCTCCCAGGGAGTAATTTCTCGCTTTCTGTCTCTTGGTTTCTGTCTCTCCAGCAAGCACACGTGCATTACAGCAAAAATCTCTTTAATAAATAAATTACATAAATTAAAAATTCAGCTCCTCAGTCTCACTCGCCACATTTCTAGTTTTAACTAACCACATATGGGGGACTAGCAGTTAGTGTAATGGCTATGTCAGTGAACTCCTACATAGCTGACCATGGTTCGTGTCCCGGACCCGGTGGCTTAAACTCATGCCAGACGCGTGTGCATGTGTGCCCAAGATCCCAAGAGGAGAATGGAGGAGAAGGGATTGTGGTGTGGTCATCTCCCCTGGGAGGTGATTTCTCGCTTTCTATCTCTCTGTCTCTCTCTGTCTTTCTGGCAAGCGCACACGCCCTATAGCAAAAACCTCTCTTAAAAAAAAAACCCAAAAAACATATAGCTAATGACTACTACACAGGAACAGTGCATGTGCAGAACATTTCCATCACAGATAATTCTACTGGACAGCAACTACTGTGCCATTAAGACGTGGAATCTAACTGTCCTCTAATTGAATGTGAGGGTCTAGGATTCATCTGTAATCAAGAGAATGTGGTGGAAATGATGCTGTATAATACACAAGTTGTGTTATAAAAAGTAATGCTAGGTCAGAAAAGAGGTGCAACTTTCACCTTGGCCTGCTAGAACACTCATACTAGAGGCTTGAGCCTCCATATACACAGTCCTACCACTCTGAGGCTCTGATACTATGAATTAGCCCACATACAGTGACCACATGAAGAAGTCCTGAGAGAAAGAGACCTGAACATTTCCCAGCAGCTCTAGACTTCTGGTGTTCCAGCTTAACCACTTGTCTGATGGCAATGATGCGGACTCCAAGCCAGAACTACCCAACTAAGCCCTTTCTAAATTTCTGACCTACAAAAACCATAGAGAATAAAGTAACTATTGTTTTAAATAACTGGATTTTTTGGTCACTTATAATGTGGCAAAAGGTTTCCAAAACATAAAATAGCATCTTAAAAACTAGTTTTAAGTTGTGATCTATAAAATGCTCTACTGTAATACCTAATTAGTAGTTTAAAATTTCAGTTATTTTATACATATAAAAGGATAATGTTTACCAGACTAAGTGTCAAAGTGGAAAAGTGTTAATAAATTAAAATTAAATATACAGAGGCAGCCAGAGGCAAGGTGGTTAAGGCAACTAAATCCCACACAGCTGACAGCATGGTTTGAATCTCAGACCTGGCAACCTGAAAAAAACACAGGATGCACATGTTTGCCCCGAATCCCAAAAGGAAAAATGGAGGAAGGGATTTGGGCATGACTATCTGCCGGGAGCAGGAGCTTTCTCATTTTCCATCCTTCTTCCCTCTGTCTCTTCCTAGAAAGTGCATGCACCCTCTAGCAAATTTTTAAAAATAAATATATATATATATATACACACACACACACACACACACACACACACACA